TGAATATTCATTTTTCTTAGTCCTGTTCATACCTAGTTGCTTCCCTCATGCATTGCACCGCTACTATTTACCTTCTCATCCATCAGCCAGGTTGAGTTATGCCTGCTGAAATTTTATATATTTATTTTTCTTTGTTTTGTCCTTCACATCTTTGGTTACATACTCTATATTTTACTCTTAACTTATCCATGGGTCAGATAAAAATCTATATTTTTGACCCCAAACCACAGTTGACTTACATAGGAATACATGAGTTTAATGTTTTTAAAGTAGACATTCTTCCAAACATGAATCTCTTTGTAACCATGAAGTCATTTTGAAAATGTGGTTCTTAGTTGTGCCTGCACCTATGGTGTGATTGACCAGATTTGGTACCTCACACACTCCAAGATCATGTGGATAAATCTTGCCCTATTGTTTCCTCTCCACTGTATTGTAATGCTACCTGGCTTCTGTTCACTAGAACTGAAAGCCAGAAAGATGCTGAGATGTCAGTGTTCATGTCATTTTGCTATTATGTGCTGACCACAGAAGCCAAATTATCCATTAGGATGAGAGCCAGGTCCCATCATGTCTTGCCACCGCCAAGTCAGCTGCTGTGTTCAGTGGTGCCAGGGGTCGAGCGGGCCGAAGAGGCACACTGTTAGCACAGCTGCTGTGGAGCTGCAATGATATTGATGACAGTACTAATTTATTTAGTAGATGGAATTTCCAACAGAATGACGATTCATCTCATCATCCTGCAGCTATTTATTGCCAAGTCAATAGGCGAAGCGTTACTAATTTTAGTGTTCAGCTTAATTCACTGCTGTGGTTCCTTTCATCAAGCCAAACAAATAACAACACCATTCTTCTGAAGGTAATTGAGATACAGCTTCTTGGAGCTCTTTAAAAATAATACATTAATAATTTCTAAGTAAGTATGCCATTGATTTAAGGAAGAGCCACACGAGGACTGCAATGTTGTGTTAAAGAAAAATACAGTTTGGTTAGCATACCAATAGGCACCCACCAGATATTACTGGGACCATTAAGTAGGACAGTAAGGATAGTGAGGGTGGTCTTCTGTTCACATTTGTACCTGCAGTCCACCACATTTCAGTTTGTCTTGGTTAATGGTATACAAATTAGCTTTTTGTAATGATATTTTGGAATGCGTAGGGCTGCCCTTGAAAACGGCTCGGAAATTCCAACTGGTCCAACGGGCAGCAGCCAGGATGTTAACCGGGGCTCATTACAGAGAGAGGTCAACCCTCCTGTTCAAGGAGCTCCACTGGCTGCTGTTTATTTTCCGAGCCCAATTTAAGGTGCAGGTGCTTACTTACAAAGCCCTGAACGGTTTGGGACCACCCTACCTGCGTGACCGCATCTCCGTCTACGAACCTACACATTCACTCTGGTCATGTGGAGAGGCCCTGCTCGTGATCCTGCCCGCGTCGCAAGCGCGCTTGGTGGGGACTCAAGACAGGGCCTTTTCTGTGGTGGCCCCCCGACTCTGGAACGCCCTCCCAAAAGATCTTAGACAGGCCCCTTCGCTGTCAGTCTTCAGAAAGAACTTGAAGACCTGGCTGTTCCGATGTGCCTTCCCAGATTAGGAACCCCCAATACCAAGTCCTAGAAGCACTTTAGTAACTAAGATCACTGCACTTACTTTATAATCCTATATACCTCCTGCCACATCAGCACTTTTAATCTTGTACCCATTATTCTGGCCTGGCCCAGTTTTATAGTGTCTTGACGTCTCGATGTATTGTTATTGCTGTTGTTTATTCTGCTTAACTGTTTTTAATTTGCTCTAGGTATTGTATTGTTGTATTGTGTTTTGAGGCCTTGGCCTATGTAAGCCGCATCGAGTCCTTCGGGAGATGCTAGCGGGGTACAAATAAAATAATAATAATAATAATAATAATAATAATAATAATAATAATAATAATAATGATGATGATGCTTACTTTTTGAAGAGAATCACTGAGCCAGCATGGCCAAAAAAATTACTCTCCCTGAAGGGCTGCTTGAAAATTTCATTTAGTTTGCATGTTGAAATTATTTGTGCACCCTGAACCAGTTTGAAGTTTTTCTTGGCTTTTGCATTTTCTGTTGAGAATTTATGTCACAAACCAATTTACAATTGTATAGTCTAGGAGGGATGGATTGTTTTAGCTGCACCATTGGGACAATCACACAAGTTAAGTAAATAACATCGCAATTATGCAATGGTTGGGATGGACAACAGTACAGAACTTTATGAAATAAGCTTCCCTTGCAAATGACAGTGCAAGGAGAGGGGGCAGTGGAAAGGGGGCATGTTTCCCAAGTTCCATTTTTAATTCAGTTGATAATCAGAAACATAACTATACAATGTTTTCAGTCAAATAGTATTTGAAGCTTGATTATTTGTTGTGTGTTGTTCCCAAATTAGCTTACAGACCTAAGATTATTAATAAACAAACAGCTGGAGTAAATCATTAAGAAAAAAAACAATCCTGAGATGCATATTCATACTGCATTCTCTTACAATACATGCAAACCTCGGCCTGTGACTCAGTTCTTCAAAAGAGCTAAGGAGGTCATAAAATATGGAAATATCCTAATCTTTCCCAAATGATGTGACTTGCTCAAACTCATTCCAGTGTAGCAGGAATTCATTCACATTTTTATCAAAGAACTTGCAGTCAGGAATCCCATCAGAGCAGCCAATACATTCTCTTGCTCTAATAGAATTCTTATGTACTTTCCTTTCCTCTGCTAATGATTCTTCATCTAGGATCATTGCCTAAATTTCTGCCATCCTTTCTCCCCTGGGCAGATGCTATTATGTGTGATTTGTGTCTCATTTTTTCTTTATGGCTCAGATAAGGCAGAATTCTAAAGAATTCTGTTGCAGATGAACCAGCATGCTGTCTTTCAATCTGTGGATTGACTAGTATTCTGTCCAAATTCAGAAGGAACAGCAAATGTGGTTTGTTTCTCACCCATCAGGCCAAAGAAAATTTAAAGAAAAAATTGAGCTGGTTTCTCTGGCTTGTCAAACCAGAGGTGTGAGGTCCTAGATAGACAAACCAGAGGTGTGAGGTCCTAGAGAAGTTTTAATATTAACCAACAAATGGGAGGTACCTTCTTCACACACACACACACACACACACACACACACACATGTGAATGTTGTTCTGTTTTACAACTAGTATTACCATTTATGCCTTACTTTAAAAAAGCTGGTAAGTGTCTGATTTGGATGGTTCCAATAATTCAAATGAAATGATATCAAATTTGATACTTAGACCCTATCTATAAGATGTATACATGTTTGACAATTAACCTCATGCTTATTTATTTATCGTGTCATCCGCAACCAGAACATTGTATTACATTTCTAACAGAACAAAACAAACAAACAGATAAAAAACCCCCACAAATTTTGCAAACTTGGTAGCTGATTAAATGTCCTTTGACCAGTATCTGGCCACTTGGAGTGCTTCTGGTGTTGCTGCAAGAAGGTCCTCCATTGTGCATGTGGCAGGGCTCAGGTTGCATTGCAGCAGGTGGTCAGTGGTTTGCTCTTCTCCACACTCGCATGTCGAGGATTCCACTTTGTAGCCCCATTTCTGAAGGTTGGCTCTGCATCTCGTGGTGCCAGATGCAGTCTGTTCAGTGCCTTCCAAGTCACCCAGTCCTCTGTGTGCCCAGGGGGGAGTCTCTCATTGGGTATCAGCCAATGAATTGAGGTGCTGGGTTTGAGCCTGCCACTTTTGGACTCTCGCTTGCTGGGTGTTCCAGCGAGTGTCTCTGTAGATCTAAGAAAACTATGTCTTGATTTAAGTCGTTGCCGTGCTGGCTGATACCCAAACAGGGGATGAGCTGGAGATGTCTCTGCCTTGGTCCTTTCACTATTGGCTGCTACTTCCCGGCGGATGTCAGGTGGTGCAATACCGGCTAAGCAGTGTAATTTCTCCAGTGGTGTAGGGCGCAGACACCCCGTGAGAATGCGGCATGTCGCATTCAGAGCCACATCCACTGTTTTAGTGTGGTGAGATGTGTTCCACACTGGGCATGCATACTCAGCAGCAGAGTAGCACAGCACAAGGGCAGATGTCTTCACTGTATCTGGTTGTGATCCCCAGGTTGTGCCAGTCAGCTTTCGTATGATATTGTTTCTAGCACCCACCTTTTGCTTGATATTCAGGCAGTGCTTCTTGTAGGTCAGGGCAGGGTCCAGGTGTGCTGCAGTGGGATTCCTTCCCAGGTGATCTTCAGAGCTCGGGATGCTTGTCTGTTCTTGAGATGAAAGGCACATGTCTGTGTTTTAGATGGGTTGGGGATCAGCTGGTTTTCCCTGTAATAGGCAGTAAGAGCACCTAGAGCTTCATAAAGCTTCTGTTCTGCCATCTCAAAGCTCCCTGCTTGAGCAGTAATGGCACGGTCATCAGCATAGATGAAACTCTCTGTCCCTTCTGGCAATGGCTGGTTATTTGTGTAGATGTTGAACATGGATGGAGCAAGCACACTCCCCTGAGGCAGGCCATTCTTCTGTTTCCGCCATCTGCTTCTCTGGCCCTGGAACTGGGTGATGTGATGTGTGTAGTGCCAGATTCACCTCACCCCCCAATAATGTGCAACAACATCTAGCAATTCTGATGGCTGTGTGATGAGATCTTGAGTCAACAATTACCCTCTTGCTGCCCAGCCATGCCTTTGGGATGTTTTCTTGGCAGTCCCCATTCAGGATTCTTTTCTGCACTTAGCAACTGTGAGTGTCTATAATGCATTTTGGATTTTGTCCTGGATTTGGGATATACTGGCATCGGCTGTATTTTTTGGCTGGACTCCAACTTTCCTGAGACTTTTAAAAAGCATATTGCAACCACAGCCTTGAGTCAGTTTTGAACTGCATTATATGGTCTTTGCAGAATGATCCCTTGTTGTCATATGTTTAACTGGATCACAACTATATAGCCTGCTCTGTAGAGAAAGTAACAATATTCTTTATTTCCTTATCCTTGCAGTACGTCGCTCCAAAGCTGCTGACGAAGAAAGGAGCCACAAAGCACGTCGAGCACGGGATGAATATCGGCGCCAATCTTTGAGGGCCATCCAAAAAGGAAAAGTGGCTGGTTTGAGTAACCTGTTCCAGGCGGCTGGTCTGAACAGAGAGCAAGAGGCAAAACTGACCAGTGCTGGTCCTATTTCATCTCTGACCACAATTGTACCAACCAGGTTTGTTTATATGAAGAAGGTGATAACATATTTTGTCTGTTTGTTATAGTCCCATGTGGAGATTATGGCCAGTGGTAGCCTTTTGATTTTTTACTGTATGAAGGGGTTAGTGGTAAGATTATCTTGAATACTTTATTTATTGATTATTTATTTATTTACAGCTTTTATATTCCGCCCTTCTCACCCTGCAGGGGACTCAGGGCTCTTTACAGTGTACACATATATGGCAAACATTCAACGCCAATTTTTGACATACAAACATATACAGACATACACAGAGGCTATTTAACTTTTTCTGGCCGCCAGGGGAGCTGTCACTTTCATCGTCCATGCTGATGAAGCACTTCTGCATTCCCCGCATGCTTCCCTGCTGGAATGCTTTGCTGGAATCTTCTTTATGGCCTCATAAATCATTTAATTTAGCCTCCCCACACTTCAAGGTGGTACCTAATTTTCCTACCTGACAGATGCAACTGTCTTTCGGGTTGCAAAGGTCAACAACAGGCTACACACAATTGGTTGGAAACCCACTCCAACCCGGGCTGGCTTCAAACTCATGACCTTTTGGTCAGAGTGACCTTAATGCAGCCAACTGCACCACAATCCCGGTGCATAGTTGAATCATAGTTTCCTGAAAATATATAGACACAGGGAGATATAGAGAGAAAGGGTGTTTTAAGAATCCAATTGTTTTATTGTCCTATAATTCCAGCAATTCCAAACTGGGTAAAATATATATTATATCAGCTCATGAAATGGGGACCAAGGTTTCAACTTCTCCACAACATTTTATCATGCATAAGAGTAAATATTGCTGCATTTTCCAGTACAACTTTGTGTGCATTGGTTCATGCTTCTTCTGTCATGTTTTCTATTTTACTTTTGCCTTGACATGGGGTCAATGCCTTCCCAGTGTTGTTTTCTGTTGCTGCAATCACACAGGATTTGAGAATCAATTTTCTCAGAATAAATAAAATCTGCTTTCTATAGGCACTTGTGGCTAGATCATATCAGAGCTCCTTGCAAAACTCCTTGATTGGTAAACACAATTTAGAACACTGTGCCTTTCTAGAATTGTCAGAGATATCATTTTGAAAATTACTCCAATCTAGTACCCATATATTGAGCAAAAATTGGTGATGGATGACCATTTTACCATCAATAATGAATGAAACTCAGAAATATTTATCCACACCTAAATGGACACTGATATTGGCATTAGATTCACTTTTATCATTAATCCTATAAAATCAGTTCTGGGGGAGCTTCCAGAACAGATTTGGTGTATATGAGGAGTGCTGGGAGTGGGGGAGGGGGGGGGGGGAGAGTAAAGATGTCTCATGGACTGGATTATTAGTAATCCAGAGTGCATAATATTAAATGTTGTCCAATGGATACTTAGGATGCATCTGCATTATAGAAGGAATGCAATGACAGCATTTTAACTGCCATGGCATCCCCCCATGTGGTATTCAAAGCGAGTAAATTACCTGAGTCATAAAATCACACAAGCACACCTTCCTCGCCCTGGTAATGAAAAATACAATAGCAATAATTCAATTAACAATATGTTCCCTGTTCTGCCTTTGTGTTACTATGGGGTTGGATTGGAAGAAATTATAACACAAAAGACAGATTGGAGGCTGTATGTGGCACAGTGGGTTAAAGCGCTGAGCTGCTGAGCTTGTTGACTGAAAGGTCGCAGGTTCGAATCCAGGGAGCGGCATGAGCTTCCGCTGTCAGCCCCAGCTTCTGCCAACCTAGCAGTTTGAAAACATGCAAATGTGAGTAGATCAATAGGTACCGCTCTTGTGGGAAGGTAATGGCACTCCTTGCAGTCATATCGGCCACATGATCTTGGAGCTGTCTATGGACAACGCCGGCTCTTTGTCTTAGAAATGGAGATGAGCACCACACCCCAAAGTCGGACATGACTGGATTTAATGTCAGGGGGAAACCTTTACCTTTACCTACCTATATAACTCCGCCATGACGTGAATTCCTGTGCACTTTCTACCCCTCTGCTTTCTTCCAATACTTGACTCCAACTGTTCTGCTTATCTCTCACAATATAACTGCCATGCTGGAACCCAAGCTTGAGCTCCCCCCCCCCCCCCATATCCTTAAAGCCACAGGCAGTAAATTATAGCTTCTGCCTCTGGAGGCATGACACTCCCTTTCTATGACATCCCCAATCTTCTGCTCCAACATTTACTGTACTCTACTGAATGGTAGGATTAGCCCTATTTTTAAAATGGATTTTACCCCTTAAAATTTTGAAAATGCATAGGAACATTTTGACAGATCAAAAGCTCATTAAATAAGTTTTAATCTACCCATTAGACTGGAAAGTATAGATCAGGTCGATTTGTATTGGACTTTGTAAAGAATTCATTTTTCAAGCATCACTAAGAACATGAAGCCAGAAAGATATATAGGGTTTGAGCATAGAGAGTTTTCATATCAGGACAAAGATTTTGTGCTGGAATCTGGATAGAGTACCAAAAATATCTTCAAACTGTAGGAACATGAGACATGCTGTCATCTTACTTTCACGATATCTTTAACAATCAAATATACAAATGAGCAGAAATCCATTTAGCTCAGATTTTTGGTTTCCAATAGTAGCCACATCATTTGAGACAGATGTAAAGGGATGCCTGTAAAGAATACATAATGTCAGTATATCCCTAGTCATAAACTTCTTCATCCTTAAACATGAGTTTCTAGATGGCTACTGACAGGTCTATCCTCTATGTATTCTTTAGAAAGCATTTTGTTTTCCTCCTGACCACCATAACCTCCCATTGTATTGTATTCCCATTGGTTGATAGGACAGTCTGTCTTTATTAAATGAATGTTTTTTTACCTGTTGCAAACCACTTGCCTATTTACTTCAATTGAAGAAAATCTCCTAAGTATTGTGAAAGAGGGAGTTAACATTTTCCCCCATTGCTCACTCTCTCCAGATCTTCCATAATCTTATCATGCCTCTCTTCAGGTTTTATATTTTTTTGAAAAAATAATGAAGTGCCTCACTTAACTAAAAGAGCCTTGAGATGTAGAAGGTTTGCTGGAGGTGCTTTGTTTGGGTCTGTTGGATTGTTTAGGTAAAGGGCACATGTACCCATTTTTTGCAACTGCATTCCTTTGTGCAATACCTCACTCCAAAATTCTAGTGCAGAGTCCATTTAATTGACCCAATAGTTCCCTTAAATTTTGAGTGATGAGATTCACTGGACTCAATTCAAGCTTGTCAAATTCTGGGCATTTGGGAAGGGGATGAAATGATAGGAAATATAATAGGCACTTGCCTTACATTGAGACAGGTTATTGTTCTATATTGCCCAGTAATGCTGACTTTAGCTGGCATCGATTTCCCATTTGGTTTACCTGTGGATGCTGAATATTGGCCGCCTATCTGAAAAGCAGGTTCACTGTTACTGAACAGTGATCTTACATCTGAAGGTGATGGTCAAAATCCTATATGGGATTAACGTATCTGTAAGCAAAATAGTTATGGTGTTATGAAGTGAATCCCAACCCAATCCCTATTTACCAGGATGGAGCCAGTGCAGTTGTTGACTGGAAAGAGTTGGCTGCTCTTTCCATCCCCTTCCATGAGTGACGTCTGAGGCAACAGGCAGAAATAGGATCCCTGTCTCAATTCCTCTAACGCCAGAAATCACTTGCTCAAGGGATGAGTGATAACAATAGTCAGCTGCTTCCCAGTTCCCACAAGTGTGATTGGCAGCTATTCATTTAAATGGGTGACCATCACTGTGGTATGGACCACAATATCTATGCTGTCTCTAATCACTGGACGTCATCCCATTTGCCACCAGAATCACCACGCATCATGACAAATCTGTCACTGCCTCATGTGGGACATGGGGAAGCTGTTACCTCACACCCTGCATCACCTGGATTCCCCATTATCTCATGCCATAGGGCAGTGGTTCTCAACCTGGGGTCTCCAGATATTTATTTTATTTGTCGTGCCAGGACGACCAGTCAAATTATATTACATTTCTAACAGAACAAAGCAAACAAACAGACAAAATACAAAATTTGTGGGTTTGGTAGTTGATTAAATGTTCTTTGACCAATATCTGCCACTTGGAGTGCTTCTGGTGTTGCTGCAAGAACATCTGGGTCTCCAGATGTTTTGGGCCTACAACTCCCAGAAATCCTAACAGCCAATAAACTAGCTGGGATTTATGGGAGTTGAAGGCCAAAAACATCTGGGGACCCCAGATTGAGAACCACTGCCATAGGGGAAGCATCCACCAGCAGGCTTCCCCCGTTGATCTCTATGCAATATAGGAAGCCTCCCGTGTTGCCACCTTGGCGGCATATGCCAGTTCCCCTTTTCTTTTAACATGGAGACCTGTCAGATGTAGCTGTGTGTTGGGGATAGGAGCTAGCGGGCTCCACGGCAAAAGGGAAGGGGAACTGGCAAATGCTGTTGAATTCACTCCCATCTGATGAGGTCAACTGACAAACAAGGATGTGAGTGTCTGCATAGTTCATAACTTGGATCTGTTTCTTAGTTATATCAAGGTCTTTTTCATCCCTGCGTAAGTTTTTATCTTACCAGAAGCCTTCAATACTTTATCAAATACACTCATATATCCCCAGGGGCGGCTCAACCCATTACACAAAGTAAGCATTCGCAGTATAGTTGATTTTGCCCAGGGGCGCTCTTGAGGCGCTCTTGGGGGAAAATAGACCTTGACATATGCGAGTTGTAGTTACTGGGATGTATAGTTCACCTAAAATCAAAGAGCATTCTGAACTCCACCAATGATGTAATTGAACCAAATATGGCACACAGAACTCCCATGACGAACAGAAAATATATATCAATGATTGGTTGGGGGGGGGGGCATCAAAATACTGTTTGCTTACCATTGAAAATTACCTAGGGCCCCCTCTGGATATCCATATACCAAGCTAAAGAGAAATGAGCAGATGTACAAAAGAGAAGATAAGAGGAAAATTGTGTGAGTGTAGAGAAAGAGAACAGGTGACTCTAGTACTACAATAATATTAGCTATCAAGATTCATCCCTCCTGGAGATCTGCCTCCTTTAATAGCAAACTAAAACTCTTTGATTGTGTTGCATTTTTGTCTTTCTCAGAGACATAGATACTACTCTTAAAATGCTAATTTTAGACTGATGCAAATATAACTGACTCCATTTCAACTGGGTGACATTGTGGGCCACTCCTTTTTTCTTGGGAGCAAACCCTCCCCATGGCTAAAGGAATGGCTAACCTTTAACCACAGCTAATGGAAATGTCAGCATTGACTTTAATAAAGACAACTGCCTGAAAGCCTTTTGAAATGACTGTATCAGATGTTGGTTAGACAGTTGATCAAGTTAAAATGTCAGTTAAACCTGTTAAAGCTTGCAGATGCAATTTCAAACTGGCAACAATAAAAATCCACCCATTAAACCTGTGTGTTTAGAGGGCAAGCCAATTAAAGAGGCTGGCCAACAAACTAGCTGAAAACCAATTGTATTGATGGACAGGTTGTTCAGAACTGAGGAGCCAGACCAAAGTTGAATTGACTGCTAATAATAATCTAACTCCTTATGAACTAGTAACTTCGGTATTACTCTCTGGCAAGTTGTAATGGTCCTCAGTTCAATAACCCTTTAGTATAGTGAAAGGATCCACACAAAACCTTACTTTACACTTATATAACCACTTCTGATTTACTCTAAAACTCTGAAGCCACTCACTCAGACATTGCATGCTGCAATTTGTGCAGGAAGGATTGGAGAAGGCCTATCTTAACTCCTTGCCCCAGTGCTAGGATGCAAAATGATGAAATAAGTGATGAGATCTGTGGCAGTCCTCTAGAGGTATTCATTGTGAATCTGGCATTAACATAAGAAGAAGATTGCCAGGCATTTCTTTGATCCTGCCTGTATATAACTGTATAGCAGCTCTCAGAGATTCCACATAGAATGCAATGTCATACCAACACTGCTAGACTTAAAAAAACACATCTGTTTATGTACACATACAGACTTCCCAACCTGAATTCTGGCCATGGGGAGACACTACTGTGCAGAGCTGCTTCCTACTGTGGCAAGATCTCACAGAGGTAAAGAACACAAGACACTTTGTTCATATTTATTTATTTATTTATTTACGACATTTATATGCCGGCCTTCTCACCCTGAAGGGGACTCAGAACAGCTTACAAGTCATAAGTACATACAACATGCTACATTATTACTATAGTACTAATAAAGCATTCATAATATTAGTATTATATAATATATTGTTGCTGGGGGATGGGCTTTGATGTCGCAGGAGACAAGATGGAACTGTCTTCCCAGCTCCCCTTCTTTTACTCTGGCCCCAGAGTGGATGTTGATACTGAAGGAGGGGCTCTGATGTCGCAGGAGACAAGATGGAACTGTCTTCCCAGCTCCCCTTCTTTACTCTGGCCCCAGAGTGACCATTGACACTGGGGGAGGGGCTCTGATGTCGCAGGAGACAAAATAGAACTGTCTTCCCAGCTCCCCTTCTTTACTCTGGCCCCAGAGTGGCTGTTGGTACTGGGGGAGGGGCTCTGATGTCGCAGGAGATAAAATAGAACTGTCTTCCCAGCTCCCCTTCTTTACTCTGGCCCCAGAATGGCTGTTGGTATTGGCGGAGGGGCTCTGATGATGCAGGAGACAAGATGGAACTGTCTTCTCAGCTCCCTTTCTTTACTCTGGCCCCAGAGTGGCTGTTGATACTAGGGGAGGGGCCCTGATGTTGCCGGAGACAAGATGGAACTGTCTTCCCAGCTCCCTTTTTTTACTCTGGCTCCAGAGTGGCTGTTGGTACTGGGGGAGGGGCTCTGATGTTGCAGGAGACAAGATGGAACTGTCTTCCCAGCTCCCTTTCTTTACTCTGAACCCAGAGTGGCTGTTGGTACTGGAGGAGGGGCTCTGATGTTGCAGGAGACAAGATGGAACTCTCTTCCCAGCTCATATAATTTCTTGCACCCTAAAAATCACTACTTGGATGTTATTTGCTTTGCTTGGACCTGTACACCAAACATATACCAAAGTATTCATAATCGGAAATTCTGAAAATAAAATTCATAAAATTAAAAAGGGAGACTGTTATTGTTGTGCAGCCTTTGAGTAATTCCTGACTTATGGTGACTGTAAGGTGAACTTACCATAGGGGTTTCTTGGAAAGATTTCTTAAAGGTTTGTCTTTTCATGCCTCTGAGGCTGAGGGAGTCCAATGAGTTTCCATGGTTCAACTGGGATTTGGCTGCTGGGCTCCAGACTTGTAGCCCAATGCTCAACCACTATGTCACACTGGCTCTCCAGATTAGAAAATCCAGTATTACACAGACTAGGAAATTATGGTCTACGTCTAGTTTTTAGTCTTAATCAAATTAGATTCACTGGATCAGTTGCTGATTTGTATATCAAGATTTATACAAATCTCAATATTTTGGTGGGTCTGTTTTAGTTTGTGCTAGTGACTGGATTTAGGCCTTTTTTCCTCAATCTAATTTGAGCTGAGAGATTTTGGTTGCCATTTTCCTCCCAAAATGCATTTTCAGCCACATTTGTAGAACTTTCTTTGCCTTCTCTGCTATTTGTATTGATCCATTGCCTGGTTGGTAAAGTCTGTACATTTCCAACAGTGCAAAACAATCCAGTGTAGCAGATGGAGTTAGGGAAAGTTTACTAGTCATTCCTCCTGGGTTTACATGGCACCATATGATATTATTAATTAGTCTCAGTGTTATGAACAAGCTTGTGTAAACCATAAGATGTTGTTGATTTATTTAAAATGGACTAACACAAAAAGTTCTTCTAAGAAAGAACAAGTCTCTTTGCATTGATTTGTACTTTCATATTTAATGTTGAGAGTAGCAATTGTCAGGCTTTGCTCTTGTGAAGTCTGGCAGCTCGGCAGGACGAAAGGAACCCCAGTCCTTTTTTGCTTAGTGTTTTGCGTTCTGATCTGACAAGCAGTTCCTTTGACTTGATGTGTTTTGATACAGCATCTTGCCTCTAATGGTTGCTGGCATTCTTGGTTTGACTGGGGAGTGTTTTTTAAATGTAGTCCCTAAAAGGCAGTGAATTTTCTATGATATGCTTGTATGCTGTTTGTCAAAGCAATATTCCCATTACTTTTGTTATTTCAAGTCACTTTCAATAAATGAAGCTTTCCTGAAATGAAGTCATAAAAACACTGACACATCTGAAGGACTGCTGAGTATAATTCAACCCTAAACTTTCAAAAGTGTAGCCATTTAGTGTAGAATTCAGCAGCAGTTAGATGCGAATTGTTGCTTTATTCTCAAGCGAGGACAAAAAGAACTTTAGAAAGCTATGGAAATTATCCTATACTTACCCCAAAGCGGTTTATTCTTCAAAAAATGATATTATTATATGATCACAGTGTCAGGTATTCTTGCACAAACTATGGAATGCATCTGTTTGGTTCTTCAGACAGGGAAATAATGATTCAATAAGGATCCCCAGTGTGTTATGTCATTGAAACAGACACATATTAAAGTGAGTTTCATCAGCTTTGAATTAGGATTTAGTGATGTCCTAACTCAGAGATGTACTTACTGTAAGGAGTTAGGATTGTGCACATGCTCATTGGATAGAAGAATTATTCTTCTGAAAGTGCTGTTTTCTGCTAGCTAATTTCAGATTTCTGCTAGCCAGAGCAGCTGTTGGCTAAGATATACTAGTAGAAGAACCAAGAAAAGAACAAGGAAGCAAGTGAGTTACACTATAGCAGTGTCTCTCAACTTGGGGGTCATGAGGGGGGTTTCAAATGAGTCACCAAAGACCATCAGAACATATTTCCGATGGTCTTAGGAACTTCTTTGGCAGAGAAGGCTGAAGATTTCTCTGCCCATCCTTCTCTTCCTTTTTGGAAGCAGATAGCGAATTCTCCCACCAAAAGCCCTTTTCCTACTGTGATTGGCTGGTCTCTCAGCTAAGGGGATGATACTTTCTAAGACTCCAAGTAGGGAGAGGAGAGCAGGCATGTTCTCCCCTTAATCACTGTCAATTCCTCCCAGATCCCTCCAGTATTTTCTGTTGGTCATGGCGACTCTGTGTGGGAAGTTTGGCTCAATTCTATTGTTGGTGGGGTTCAAGGGGCTCTTTGATTGTAGGTGAACTATAAATCCCAACAACTACAACTCCCAAATGTCAAGGTCTATTTTCCCCAAACTCCACAAGTGTTCAAATTTGGGCATATTGAGTATTTGTGCCAAGTTTGGTCCAGATCCGTCATTCTTTGAGGGCTTTCTGGATGTAGATGAACTACACCTCCAAAACTCAAGGTCAATACCCACCAAACCCTTCCAGTATTTTTGTTGGTCATGGGAGTTCTGTGTGCCAAGTTTGGTTCAATTCCATGGTTGGTGAAGTTCAGAACCCTCTGATTGTAGATGAACAATAAATCTCAGCAACTACAATTTCCAAATGACAAAATCAACCCCCTCCCCCCACAACTCCACCAATATTCAAATTTGGGTGTAGTGAGTATTTGTACTAAATTTGATCCAGTGAATGTAAATGCATCTTGTATATCAGTAGGATATCATAACGGTAGCAAAAATATAGTTATGAAGTAGCAACAAAAATAATTTTATGGTTGGGGGTCACCACAAGATGAGAAACTGTATTAAGGGGTGTGGCATTATAAAGGTTGAGAACCACTGTACTAGAGCCAAACCACAATGCCACAGAAATGTTAGGCCACAGAAGTGTTGCTCTAATGATTTACTATCATTCACTTTTGCATTAAAAAAAGTGTCCTGCTTCATATGGATTTTTGAATATCCGTATGATATCCTTTTTTCTGGTTACAAATGGAAAAAGGAACTCTACCATCCCACTTCATCTGCATTCCAAGTAGACATAAATATAAACCTGTTGAGATTAACTTCACAATTCAGCAGCAGATCAGTTGCACAACTTCAGCTTTCCAGTAGCTTCTTCCTGCACAGTATTTTCAGTCAACTGCACCCACAGCCTGCAGTCACTTTGGAACCTTTTACAGACACTTGAGCACATGCCCGGACATTGTCAGTTTTACCATTGTCTTTCCCCCAGTCTAGATGATATTACAAACTTACCACAGCATACAGTTATATCTTGTCTTAGCAGACAGGTTCTTTTAATTACATATAGCCTTCGACGAACAACATCACAGCACAAGGAGAAATATACACTGTACATGACTTCCTTCTATACAATTCTATACAATTACACATAGCAATCTCTGATTGGTTCCCAACTCATTGACTTAACTCAGACCAAGGATTACATCATTCACAATCACCTGGACTAGGCCAGAACACATTCCCCAAATGAAGTTCTATATACAGTTAATACATGACTCAGCATTTCCAATAGAAGCCCATTAGCAGTGCATGACTCAGCTATATTACATCACAATACATTGTAAAACCTGACAGAACCATAGTTTTCTTTAACCTTACCAAGATGCTACAGACCTACAGCTTCTCAAATACTTAAATGTGCATTGTCTTAAAGTTTATATCATTGTTATTATACAGATATGGTTGTTTATATGCATACTAAAATAAATTGTAATGTAAGGATTATAAGGAGCCATTCATAGCTGTAAATCTGTCTTGCTGGGCAAATATGTTTTTTTAAAGTCATCATTCAGGTTGCAATGATTTGTGAAAGGAAGCATTTTTTGGTTAAGATCTCAAATGTTTGTGTTGACTCCATCGGAAATATTAAGTCTCAAATTCATTTTAACATCAATGGGGGAAAAAATCACTAGTCCAAGAGGGCTGGATTATACATTTGCACACTTTGTGAATCTTGTTCAGCTGATTTCGAATGTATCCTGTAAAAAACTGTATCAGATTGCATCCTGAATACATATCCTTTATGATAGCATTGTAACATAATTAGATGCAGGCTGAAATTTGTAGTAAATGAGAAATATTTCTCAAAATGTTGTTCAAATGATATTGCCATCTCTTCTTTACTTCTTAAGTAAAGGTAAAGGTTTCCCCTTGACATTAAGTCTAGTCATGTCTGACTCTGGGGGTGGTGCTCATCTCCTTTTCTGAGTCGAAGAGCCGGCGTTGTCCAAGGCCATGGCCATGTGACCGGCATGACTACATGGTGCACTGTTGCCTTCCCACAGGAGTGGTACCTATTGATCTACTCACATTTGCATGTTTTCAAACTGCTAGGTTTGAATAAGCTGGGGCTAACAGCAGAAGTTCACTCTGTTCCCTGGATTTGAATTGCAGACCTTTTGGTCAGCAAGTTCAGCAGCTCAGTGGTTTAACCCACTGTGCCATCTTTACTTCTTTTTTTATATTTAAAATCAAATTAAAGTGTCATTTCATCTCAGCAGTTACACAAGTGTTACAGAAAATGGGGATGGAGAATTTCAAATAATAATTGACTTTTAAAGAGAAGAATGTGGGATTATATTTTGTTAGTCATTTTTTTTGCATAGTTTTAACTTCTATTTCTTTTAAATGTCATACAGCAAAGCTTGGGAACGACCCCCCAGACCTTTCTCCAGAGAAGTCATAATTCAGTGGTTCAGAGAAGAGCAGCTTCCACGTCGGGCTGGATTTGAAAGGAACTCCAATACTATTGCACCCTGGTTTCATGGTAAAACAATTCTTTATTGATATTCTTAAGTATAAAGGACATTTTGAGAAAGTTCTGGGAGATTATGTTGGGGTTGTTTGTTTCCTGAAGAGAAATGGCATAAATGAGATGTGCTCAACTTAATACTGAAATAACTCTTTTCTTATAAAGCTGTTCTGAAGTGGATGGGTCCCTTTCCCAACATAATATTATTTATTCTTTTTAGTTGCTTTAGTGTGGCAGTCAGGGACCTGAGAAATCTGTGAAGCGGGGGGAGGTTAACCCATCCAACTGTTCATGCTCATATTTATTTATGTATTTACTATTCCTTTATAGAGTCCCTGAACAGCATCATTCTCTGGGTGACTTAAAACATAAATGTATAATAATACAGCTGTAAAAATTCAACATCATAAAATAACAATTTGGAACAAAAAAATCAGAAAAAAATGCTACAAATAATTTAAAAAACTAGATAACTAATAAATATGTGAAACACTGGCTGGCATGCTGTTAGTAGTAAATGCAGGCATACTCATGTATAAGTCTAGAAATTTTATACAATTTTTCCCCAAGAACTTAAATCAACTTATTCATGGATCAAAGTGGATGGACACTGTGTTGAGGTCTGCAAAGCCTCCTCCTCCTCTGAAGAGGGTAGAGGATTTTTTGTTTGAGCCTGTTACATCTGTAGAGGATAGCAAAAGTGTTTTTCAAAATGTATTGGATAGATCAGTGATTCTCAACCTGGGGTCCCCAGATGTTTTTGGCCTACAACTCCCAGAAATCCCAGCCAGTTTACCAGCTGTTAGGATTTCTGGGAGTTGAAGGCCAAAAACATCTGGGGACCCCAGGTTGAGAACCACTGGGATAGATCCTTTGATGGGGAAACAGACCGTGTTTCTCATGATAATCTCCCAGGGATTGACTGTGAAAGGAATGTGGAGAGACTAGAGGGTTACTGATAACCCAGCATTTGTTGATCAGACAGGAGGGTGTGAAGCAGAGACATATTCATTGTTCTCACAGACTGAAAGATAAACAAAGTGCACCCAGGTGTGAGAAAGAATGATGTTTAGGAAAGAAGGAAACTTCTTAAGGAATCTGAGGCTTTCTTCACTGTGGAGCTCAATGTTGGAATTTCATGTATCAAATAGCCTGTTTCTGAAGCTCCGAGTAAGAAGTTCCGGTCCTTGGTTTTTGGATCTTGTTTTCCTATCTAAATTTCATGTCTCCTGTTTGGGTTACAAATCTTGTTTCAAATTTTCAAACCTTTGAGATTATAGTCAAGTTCAAGTTTTCAAGCTTTTGGAGTTATAGTCATGTTGTGAGCGCCACCACCTTGGTATTCCAGTTTCTTGTGTTACCATCTGTGATTTTTGGATTCATGTTCAGAGTTGCTCTTTGCATTTTGTCAAGTTTTTGATGTCTAGCTCCTGGATGTAACTTGAATACTGCTTTTACAATCTGACCTTTGATTTTACTTTCTGCATGCTTAGTTTGCTTATTTTAAATGATTTCTAGACAATTGCTTGCACTATTTTGAAGCTGTTACTCCTTTCTTAATAAATTCCTTATTATTGTTGAACTTTGTGTTCAACAAACAGGGCTCAAACAGGTGGTTGGACTGCAACTCACTGTACCTTAACTGTTATAAAAAAGTGACCTTCCCCTTTTCTGTGTAGACTAGAGAAAAGTGAGACTGCGCTCTATTCTAGGTGAACCTAAAAGAAGCACCAAACTCTGAACGTTATCTACCACAGCACTACTTTGGGCCATTTTGAATGCCTAGGTAGAAAAAATAGTCACTGGTCCCATGAAGAAGGGCTAACTGTTTCACCCCCCTGGAGAGTGACTCTTGATTTATCCATGGGTTCATTCAAAATCCATCATTTTGTTCCCTTCAGTTGTATGCACCCAATCGGTTTTGACTATTCAACATCACTCATAATCAATAAAGGCCATTGAGACTGCGAGTGTATCTGCCCTGTAGAATTAATGCAGTTTGACACTACTTAAACTGACATGGTTGAATGCTTTGGAATCATTGAAGTTATACTTTTGGTGAGGCACCAGCACTTTTTGGCCAAAAAAGCTAAAGAACATTGAACCATGGCAGTTAAAGTGGTGTCAAACTGTATTAAGTCTATGGTGTAGAGTCAGCCTGTGTGAAAGAAACTGAAAACAGCATACATCTGCCAGCATTTCCATAAAGGAAGTAGCAGAACTGCTAAAGGAGGAAAGCATTTTTCCCTCCTTGTCAAAAATATTTTGCAAATCACATTGAGGAATTTCTGCTCAGCCTCAAGTTTGAGTGTGTCTGAGAACATATCTGTTTAGACAGTGTATTGAGAGAGTCCTGCTTCAGTCCAAGTGGCAAACTGACAGAAAGTATTGTCAGCAAAGTCTGGGTGAAATTCCCTTGTATATGAAATTGCTGGATTGCTCTCTGTCTATGATAGATTTGTCAAGCACTTGACCTAAAGTAGCTTCTATTTCTGCATTTGAGCTATTTACTCTCCATTGATTGCATAAGGTTTTTGGCCCTGTCTCAGTATGGCATAAGAAATTCCTTCACACAAGGATTGCAGCATGCTCCCAATGGAGCCAGATTCAAGTAGAATCTTTCAAATTTATATTAGAGACTTTTGTGAGTAATGTGCAGCTGAAGAGTCCTTTCAGAGTCTTTTTACTAGCTCTACTCCCCTGCAGAATAGTAAGTGCCTTGAATAACAGATAAAGAGTTCAATCATCAGGACTTTAAAAGAAAAACTCAATCGTAACTTGCTCACCTCTACATTGAAACATGTTAATGAGGCAAGCAGCACACAATCAAATAATTATATTCTATAGGACCTCTGCCGACATCAAGAAATCTTGTTTGCCTGATTCAGGAAGTTTTAGGAATATCTGAAAATGTCTTAGACAGTGGCTGCACTCACATTATATATATATTTATTTATTTCCTATATTTTTACCTCGCCCTTCTCACCCCTGAGGGGGGACTCAGAGCAGCCTCACAAAAACATCATAGGATGCCGGCATCATAAAAACAATCAACAATCAGCAGTAGATTAAAATATTAAAATATTAAAAACAGTAATTAAACAACTGATTAAAAACACACTTATTAAAATCAGAATCCAAAATCTAAAGTCCAAAGTCCAGTCCAGGTCAATTCATTGTCTTCAAAACTTCTTTTACTTGCTGTTATTACTGGTCGAACGTGTTGGGGTTCAGCCTGTGTGTGAACCTGAACCTGATTCTCTGATTGTATTCCCTGATGCCTATGTAGATGTCAATGTGAATTCTGAGGCCAATTTAGATGATGATGGTTTGAGTAGTGAAAATCCTACAGCCTTGGAAAGTGAAAGTCAAAATTCACATGAGAACATGGGTTCTGAGCCGAGCAGAGAAGTTTCACTCCCTTTTCCTCCCAGCCTTAGTTCTCCAGAGAATCTGACACCTGGTCTGCCTAATGAGGATAGGCGGGGGCAGATTTGGCAGAGCCGGGGAGAAGCACAAAGTTTACGTAGATCAGCCAGATTGAGAGAAATGCAAACAAAAACTTCAGGCATGTCTCACAATAGATTTCTCAGCCTTAAGTATGCCTGGCCTGAATGCAGCTTCAGACCAGGCATCGTTCCAGATTCATGTGCAAGCTTTTGCAGGTCTCCTGATTCTAGTGGCCTTGTTCCTCGGAGGTTTTCTAGTTGTTCCAAGTATGGTTAGTGGAGTGCTAACAGGTTCCAGGATTCAGCAGTTTTGCTGTGGGTTTTATGATCTTGTTTATGGACATTTCTTGTTGCTGATTTTTACTGTGCATTTTTCCCCTATTTTGTATTCATCTTTCATCAATAAAAAAGGATTGTTTTCCTGAAGTCAAATGTGGTGGATGGTTGTCTGAGGGTCGAGTTTCTTGCTCTGGGTTGCAACAGAACGCTTGGTCCCATAGACAGGTCTTAAGTTTCCTTGTGAAAGACAGGAGGGAGGTGGCCAATCTGATGTCCCTGGGGAGGGAGTTCCACAGATGGGGGGGGGGCAGAGAAGGCCCTGTCCCTCATCCACACCAGTTGCATTTGCGATGGTGGTGGGATCGAGAGCAGGGCCTCTCCAGATGATCTTAAATTTCATGATGCTTCGTAATAGGAGATACATTCAGCATCAATAGGATTGAATCCTCAAATCAAACATCTTGTTGTTGTTCATTCGTTCAGTCATCTCCGACTCTTCGTGACCTCATGGACCAGCCCACGCCAGAGCTCCCTGTCGGCCGTTACCACCCCCAGCTCCCTCAAGGTCAGTCCAGCCAATGGCATACCGACATATCTCTGGTTGTACTGGTCCATTTAGTTTTCTTGGCAAGGATACTGGAGTGGTTTGCCATTGCCTTCCCCAGGGATCACGCTTGGTCTGACCTCTCTGCCACAACCGTCCCGTCTTGGGTGGCCCTTCACGGTTTCGCTCATGACATCATTGAGGTGCTCAAGCTCCAGCGCCCTGACAAGGCGGTGATCCTTTGCTGGAGCAAACATCTAGGAATTTTAATTAATGAGAATGTCATTTCTCCTCCCTCAGCAATCCTGTCTTCCCCTTTGCTTCTTAGCATAACTGTATTCCACACAGAAGCTAAAGGGGAAATGGGTTTTTACAGTTGTCATGTCAAGTATGTGGAGGCTGACATGAATTGAATTGGCATTTTGAAGAGCCACTGCAAGAGACCAAACTGCTGAAAACTTCTAAAAATTTATGGGAGGGGTTTGCCCATGTAGATAAACAGAATGACTTCATTTGTGGGCTCTCTTTATGTCTCTTTGCAATAAAACATCACACACCAAACTGGGGGCCAAACTTTCCTGCCTTAATTTGGACTTCTTTGTTAAAACAAAACAAAAAAAAAATGGAAAAAATGTGGTACCTACCTAGTAACATCAGGGAGTCCAAGTTTTGCATTTAGAAGTTGAAATTTTGCTCCCATTCAGATCCCACAAGACTTAAAAAGGACATAGTTATTGGCAGCC